CTTCAGAGGACAGTGAAAAAAAAAAAGCAAAAGAGTTGTTTAAATGTGCTTAAAGTGTTCACTGACACCATTCCACAAATCTGCAGTTCATTTTTGTTATAGAAGTTGATGCTATGTGCAGACTTAGACAGATCACACAATACTGGTCTACAGTTAGCTCATGCTTTCAACATTTTTCTTCCCAACTGTAAGGCTTAGAGACATATTTTAAAGAAATGGAAGCTTAAAAAATAAAAATAAGCTACTTTTAAAACTTAAAAATAAAATGTTATGGCCACTTAAGATCATATGGTAACGTAGGTGGCTTCATAATCACAGTACAGAATGGATGTATTTTCAGTAGGGGCTGTTAAAATCAGTTTGTGGGAAATTTCAGCATTCTTAGATTTTCTTTTGTCACAAGCTGGAATGAAAAATTTAAATGTTGACATTTGCTATGAAATAAAGATGTCATTTAGAAATATGAAGCCTACATTACTAAAATGCTTTATTTCAATTAAGTCAAACCTTATCATTTTGAATTTTTCTCCAATATATCATAATACTCAAAATAAAGTTGAAACGCAGCACTTCAAACTTATAGAAATATGCATTGATAAGTTTTGTTGAAAATTTGAACCAAAGCAACGTGTCTCTATGGAATGCTTACATTTTCATGGAACCAGCATTTTCCAAAGGAAAATTACTCCTTAAAAGCATTTCAACCAGCTCTGAGGTTTAAGACAATGTATCTAATGCATAATATTATGATACAAACCTTTGTTCTATAAAAGAGTACTGAACTGCATGAGAAGGATTCCTCGCTGGTGTGGACCAGCAGTTTTCAAGGCGGATTATTAGATGGCCTGGAACCTGTCAGAGGACAGATACAAATTAATTTGATGAATGCAGCATTCTGCCTTTAAGAGACATTAGTCTCATCTTTACCTAATACATGTTTATGAAGAACTTGGAGAAGCTAATGATGTAACAAATGATTACATCAAACCCTTTTCAAGATACAGATGCATGTTAATTAGAGGCAGGTCATTTTTTCCCCCTACGCATATTACAGTCTATGAAAAATCTGGGAAGGGAGGGTTGAAACCTCTCCCAAATTTGGATTTATTTCAGCAAATAATTTTGTCTAAAAGCAAAGGGAAAATTAGATGCTTTGAAACATTTTGTTTCAACATTTTCTTCTAAAAAATGACTTTTTTTTTTTAATGTGTTCCAGCCCTCCCTCCATGATAAACAGAACATTTAATTTCAGGTAGAATAAAATGTCTTAAATTGACCTGAAACTGATTCCACCTCCCTCCCTCCCCCTACCAATCCTCAAAACTCTACGGTTCTTCAGGAGAAAAGCAAAAGAAAAAAATATTGGTTTGGTTCAACCACAAGCGAGATTGAAAAATTCATTACACACACATTGCTAGTTGAGAGCCTCACAAGCCTACTAGAAACATTAATACAGAAGTTTCTATATACATCAATACAGTATTAAAGACCCTGAACATCTAACTTACCAATATGGCCTTCACTTGTGACAATTTTTCAGGCCATTAAAATATTTTAAACAATTAAAAGCTTGCATTTTGTTCATATATAAACATAAGCACATCAAAATTTAGCATTAAACATTGCTATAGATCTGCATTTGAAAATGCAACATGGTAGGGACACATAGCTGGGAGCAGGCTGTTGGGGCAGGAGAGGCTGTTGGGCAATTTAGGGGGTGCTCATATAAATTGTCACACGTGTAGGGCACAGTGGAGATCTGTTGTGATGAACCTTTCATTGCCCAAGAGTGGAGCTCTCTTTTGACAGGTCATAAGAAGTTCATTACAGAAGTGCTGGATGTGTAAGGGAGTGAGCAGCAGAGTGGAGGAGGTAGAGGGACATCCTGGAATATCCTAATCTATAAACTTCAACAGACTTGCTCAAATTCACCAGAAGGAGAACTTTTATCCAGTGAATCACAGGAAGTTCATCAGAGGGGCTGCCTCCAGAGTGAAAATGATAGCTCCTTCCTGAAACATCATGATCTTCAAGTATTCACCTCTCCATTCCCCCATTCTTATAATCAAGGTGAAGACATGGTGGGAGCAGGCAAGATGATGGGTAAATTGGCTTGAGGGACAGTACTAATGGCACTACCTAAGTATGCCACTCTACACTTCAGGCCAATTCTTCTGAAGTACTTCCCATGATTCACCACTAAAGGAAATGTAATAGATCCTCTAAGATGGGGATTTGCCTCTCAAAGAGGCATAGCCACAAGAGGAATTAGATAAGGATATATAGTTGCAGGGAGAGAGCATGGATGTGAGGGATATTTGGAGGAAGGCCCAGAGGCTGTCAATTGCTGTAAAGCAGAGATGAGAGAAGGAGCTCCTTACTGACAGCTATCCTGATCCCCTCTGCCCACTGGTTTCCTGCCTTAGTCGAAAAGGCAACCTGTCTCCCAACTTCCATAGTCCCCTTGTCCAACCCCATCACTCAATCTCATTCCAGGCAGAAAATTATTCTTCTTTGTTACACTTTTATGTTCATCTATGTTAAAGTATCAAAATAAACTATCATAAACATGCTTAATAATTGCTTTTTTTATTCTGTTTAGCACTAACTTCTGTATTGTTTGATTAACTATCAAGACAAAGCATTTCAAAGGATGCACATGACTTTTTCAGAATTTTCTTTACCAGACAATTTCAAAACAGAAATTTTGTCTTCTACGTAGCACTCCCTTCCAGAAATGCAAACCATTCATAATGCTGGAGAATCTCTCTTGGGCTCATTGTAAAGTACTATGATTGCAAAAATGTTTTGGCTTCAGTTTGCTATGCATTGTTTATACACTTCAAAGGATTTATTAAGGAATCAATTATGGTAGTACCATATTGACTTTGACAAAGATGTTGTCCTCTAGGGTTAAGAAGGGAATAGTAGTCCACATGTCCTCAAAATCTGGGTCCTTGTACAGCATCATTGAGACAGAAAAATTCCCATCTTCTGTGTTCAGTGTAATGGTTCTGCAAGCAATTTAGATAAATCAATGATGATGGGTAAATTTGTGGCAAAAAGGGACAGTGGGGCATAATCTCACAGAAAAAGAAATAAAGCTAGACTATTTTAAACTGTACCACACTGTCTAAATGTGTTTAGTAAAGTGTGTTCTATAGAGAAGCAGAAATGAACTAGATGTACTTTACTCCTCTAAACCCTCAGAAGGGTGCAGCTCTTGGTCCTCGCTGACTGCTTAACAACACTTCCAGTAGAGTTTGGTAAAAAAAAAACTTAGTTGGAACTATTTTCTGTGTGTGAACATGGTTCATTCAAACTGGTCTGGGAAATTCCACTGATTTCCCCAAAAAATTGTTTCAGAGGAAACCAGTTCTAACAATAATGAAACAACTCATTTATATTTTTGAAGAAAAATATATTCCATTGGTTAATGGTCTGTTTTCATTTCACAATTTTTAAAACTTTGCATCATATAATATTTTTAAAAGGCAAAATCAAAACATGTAGCTGACAATACATTTTTCCAGATTTTTCTTTCACAGATAATTCCAAAATTTACAATATTTTTTTCCTATTCAGAACTAATATACAAGACAATTTCATGAAACAAAATCTCTGTCCTTAACATAGCTTCAGTGATGCAAAACACCCATAAAGTTATAGTAGGGATGTCAAACTGATGGCTCGTGAGCCAAACCATGTCACGTGCCCTGTGAAACTGGTAGAGCAGCTGGGGATTTGGGGGTAGGACACCTTGGGGTGGGGACTGCTGCCTAAATCCAGGGCATGGAGCCCCATTGGATATGCATGTCTGAACAAGGGATGAGTGACAGCTGTATTAATTCCTGCTTTTGCTGCTCACCCTAGCACCATATACACATCCAGCCCTCAGGCAATTCAACTCCCAAAGAAGACTTTATCCTATCCAGAGGTATTTTCAATGGGTAATGAACTGCCATGCTGTCTTGTGGGCCACCATCCTACTCTTCAGTGCTGGGGGTCTCTCAAGAGGAACGGGGTATGGGCCAACATGTTCCCACTATTTCTAACTGCCAGAATGGACCTCTGGCCACTGAAACCATGATATAAATCAGATCTCTAATTTAAGACAGAACATGGCCTTTCCCTTGGCTGTTCCCAGATCAGGCTAGCACAGAGGTAACTTACGTTCCTCCTCTCCAAAGGTCTCATCTTGAACAAAGTTAACTCATAAAGATGGGATCTGGGCCAACAAGGGCATATTTTATAATACCCTAAATCCCAGAAACCATAACTATTTTGGTATGACCCAAATGGCCAAGTAGCAAGGTGCTGTGTAAACAGCACCAGGGCTAGAAATTACTCCTGGCATGTCTTACAGCATGGGTCAGCAACCTTTTAGAAGCAGCAGACTAAACTAATGAAGCTTGGTCCAATGGTAAACCACTGCTTCCAACCCAGCCACCGGTGCAGCTTTGCAAACCTGATGCACTTGGTTGGCAGGCTGGATCCAGCCCATGGGTCAGAGGCTGCTGACCCCTAATGTTTCTTCTTACCTAGGTTTTTGGATTTTTTCACCTTCAAATGTTCTCGTTTCAGGAAACAAAATTACTTATTAAAAAATAATTCAAAGAAACCAGGTTTGCCATGGAACACTATATAGATGTACTATAAACCAGGCTAGTAGATGGGTGCCTAATGATTTTTTCTGCCAGGTGATACATAAAACAGTTACTAAGGAGTTAGGTTCCAGTTCAGCCAAGTATTAAATACAAACTCAAGTCATTGTGTATAGATTGGCAGGTGTTTAAAATGCTTTGCTGAATTGGGTCCCTAACTGCACTTTTTGCAAGAATAGGGTTGTCAGCTCCCATGTCCCAGACAGATTCCATTTCTAGTATTTAGTGTTGAATTGATTAGTCTAGGCCCAGATCCACTTAACTTCTCGGCCACTCTAAGAGCTGCAAATGTATTCATGCATACCATCAGACTCAGTCATAACTCCCATCTGTTGTGGGTGCTCCCTTTACTATGACTCACATTGTGCCATGCTGCAAGGGTTGGAAGGAGGTTTTGTGGCCCTAGAATTCATTGCCTCTTCCCTGGTCTTTGTATTTTGGGCTTAGACATTTGCCACAATGCCTGCAGCACACTGAGGCACTGCTTCAAGAAAGAGTCTCTCTGACAGGAGGCCTGCATCTCAAGGATGCTGATAAATTTGTAAGTGATTTGTGTTACAGAAGAGCCTAAAAGTATCATGAGTGATTAAGACCCTACACTTTTAAGCACTGGGAATGCATAAAAGAGGAGGCCTTAAATCACAGAGAAAGTCTATGACAAAGCTAGAGCCCAAAGTGTCTGAATCCCAGTCCATTGTGTTCATAAGATCATTCTTCATTTTAATCAGTCTGTATTACTGCCAGTATTACTGTACTGTGCACAACTTGTAAAAGGACTAGCTATAGTTCTTCTGGATGAAAGGAGCTACATGAAAAGTAACATATCAGAGGAATAAGAAGTCTACCCATCTTCTTGCTTAATTTGCCTCAGTTTTTAATGACTCTAGACAGTTTAATGGTACAAGATTAAAAAATAATGGATTTACCTGATATCAACACTGATCTTATTATCCCCATTAGGCTGCTGCACCAGGTAATTAATAGGGTATCGGCAAGCAAATGTAATATTGATAAAGGTTCTTGTAATTACTTCAGAAAAGTTACTCTGTATGGTGTTGGTGAAAACAATATGTGTATCATCAGAAGCCTGAAAGGTGATAGAAAAAAAGAGTTGTTGACACGTGCTATTTATTCATAAACAGCCTAACTTGCATAATAAACTGCGAGTAGGTACATTATCCCTCCGGTAACTCCACCAAAGGTGGCTGCTATTATTAATTATAATTATGTTTAGTTTTGTTGTGCCTAGAGCCAATGCAAGAACACGACTCTTGCACTAGGCTGGAAGGGGTGAGAATGTTAATTTTGTTCAAAGCATTAACAAATAAATGACTCCAGCCACAAGTGTGGGAAAGAATGCTGCCCAACTGACAGGCGATCCAGTAAGTTTTTGGAGAGCATTGGAGACAATTTCCTGGTGCAAGTGTTGGAGAGACCAAGTAGGGGCCGTGCTCTTCTTGACCTACTGCTCACAAATAGGGAATAACTGGTGGGGGATGTAGAAGTGGATGTGGGCAGCAGTGACCACAAGATGACTGAGTTCAGGATCCTGACAAAAGGAAGAAAGGAGAGCAGCAGACCGTGGACTTCAGAAAAGCAGACTTCGACTTCCTCAGGAGTCCTGATAGGCAGGATTCCCTGGGGGCGTCCAGTCTCGGGTGGAAAGGAGACCAGGAGATCTGGTTGTATTTTAAAGAAACCTTACTGACGGGGCATGAGCAAACCGTTCTGATGTGCAGGAAAAATAGCAAATGTGGCAAGTGACCAGCTTGGTTTAGCCGAGAAATTGCTGGTGAGCTTAAACACAAAGAGGAAGCTTACAAGAAGTGGAAGCTTGGGCTAACAACTTGGGAGGAGTATAAGACTATTGCTCAGGCATGCAGGGATGAAGTCAGGAAGGCCAAAGTACAATGGGAGTTGCAGCTAGCAAGGGACGTGAAGGGTAACAAGAAGGGTTTCTACAAGTATGTTAGCAACAAGAGGAAGGTCAGGGAAAGTGCAGGTCCCTTACTGGAGGCAACCTAGTGACAGGTGATGAAGAAAAGGCTCAAGGGCTCAATGCCTTTTTTACCTCAGTCTTCACAGGCAAGGTCAGCTCCCATACTACTGTACCTGGAAGCACAGTTTGGGAAGAAGGTGAGCTGCCCTCAGTGGTGAACGAACAGGTTAGGGACTATGTAGAAAAGCTGGGTGTGTACAAGTACATGGGGCCGGATGCAATGCATCCAAGGGTGTTGAGAGAGTTGGCTGATGTAATTGCAGAGTCACTGGACATCATTAAAAACTTGTGGTGGTTGGGGGAGGTCCTGGACAACTGGAAAAGGGCAAATACAGTGCTCATCTTTAAGAAAGGGAAGAAGGAGGATCCAGGGAACTACAGACCAGTCAGCCTCACCTCAGTCCCTGGAAAAATCATGGAGCAAGTCCTCAAAGAATCCATTTCTAAGCACTTGGAGAAGATGATGATTAGGAACAATCACCAAAAGCAAGTCAGGCCTGTCCAATCTGATTGCCTTCCATGATGAGATAACTAGCTCTGTAGATGTGGGAAAAGCAGTGGACATAATCTACCTTGACTTTAGCAAGGCTTTTGATACCGTCTCCCACAGCATTCTTGCAAGCAAGTTGAGGAAGTATGGGTTGGATGAATGGACTGTAAGGTGGATAGAAAGCTGGCTGGATTGTCAGGGTCAATGAGTACTAATCAATGGCTTGATGTCTAGCTGGCAGCTGGTATCAAGTGGAGTGCCCCAGGGGTGAGTCCTGGGGCTGGTTTTGTTCAAAATCTTCATTAACCATCTGGAAGATAGGATGGATTGCACCCTCAACAACTTCATGGATGACATCAAGCTGGGGGTGGGGGTTCAGTACATACCCTGGAGGGTAGGGCTAGGATTTGGAGTGACCAGACAAATTGGAGGATTGGGCCAAAGAAATGTCATGAGGTTCAACAAGGGCAAGTACAAAGTCCTGCACTTAGGATGGAACAATCCCATGTACTGCCATAGCCAGGGACTGACTGACTAAACAGCAGCTCCTTAGAAAAGGACCTGGGGGTTACAGTGGAGAATAAGCTAAATACGAGTCAGCAGTGTGCCCTTGTTGCCAACATGGCTAACAACAGACTGGGCTGCGTTAGTAGGAGCATTGCCAGCAGATTAAGGGAAGTAATTATTGTGCTGTATTCTGCACTGGTGAGACCACATCTGGAGTACTGTGTCGTTTTGCCCCCTGCCCCCACTATAGAAAGGATGTGTACAAGTTGGAGAGAGTCCAGCAAAGGGCAACTAAAATGATTCAGGGGGCTGGGGCACATGACTTCTCAGGAGAGGCTGAGGGAAATGGGCTTATTTAGTTTACAGAAGAGAAGACTGAGAGGGGATTTGATAGAAGCCTTTAAATACCTGAAGGGTGGTTCAAAAGAGGATGGAGCTAGACTGTTCTCCATAGTGGCAGATGAAAGAATGGGAAGCAATGGTCTCAAGGTGCAGCAAGGGAAATTTAGGTTAGATATTAGGAAAAACTCTCACTAGGAGGGTGGTAAAGCACTGGAACTGGTTACCTAAAGGTGGCAGAGTCTCCACCCTTGGAGGGTTTTAAGACATGGCTTGACAAAGCCCGGGCTGGAATGATCTAGGTGGGGCTGGTCCTGCTTTGAGCAGGGGGCTGGCCTAGATGACCTCCTGAGGTCCCTTTCAATCCTAACTTTCTATGATTCTATGATATTGTAAACAAAGTCAAACTATACATACAATAGCATTAGTAGATTCAACAGAAAGTACCTTAAGATTCACACATGCAGATTTAACACATTCACATATCTCATAGGGGGCTTCAGTCAGGGGAGGAGAAGGGGTGGAGATGGGAATGAGAACCATGGGAGCAGAAGGGTGACATAATTATGGGTGGTGAAGCAAAAGGGAGGGAACTGGGGGTTTAGAGTAGCTATCAGCCCCATATTCTGTCCTTCTGTGTGCGTGCACACACCTACAGGGGTTCAGGGAGCTGCTCCCCTAGAAGTATTTGTGCATTATGTTGTTTGTGTGTGGGATCTGAATCCCTACTCCTTTATGGGGAGTGGTGGTCTGAATCCCTTCCCTGTCCCCATATGGACCAAGATCAGACAGTGATGTGGTGTGGGGGTTGTCAAGGTTCCTTCCCCGTCTCTGGTGAATGTATTAGGATTTGGAGGAATCTTGTTCCAGTAAGGTTATCTGAACTCTAGTCCACATGTCTAGGAGGTCCTACACAGGCAGTGTTAGCAATTAAATACTGCAAATGTTTCAGAGCCTAGCTGTAATCCCTATTTCACTAAAACACGTGCAGAATGAGAAAGAATTACTTAGGAACCACACAGTGTTCTTTACTTTCACTTAGCTACAGCAGCAGCTTTGCTGCAAACCTACATAACAACAACTTCTTTAACAATCATTTGTTCCTATAAACAGCATTTCTACTTTGGTTATAAAAGACAGGAAATTCAATGGCAAACTGTTACTGTAGAATTAAGATTGCTTGGGGGTATTTCATACCCTCCTCAAACACAGCAAAACTCAAACTCTTCAGTTCCTGGTTTTTAAGAAGTTAAGGCATACATCCAGGCAATCATAAATCTGCTTTTTTTGGAGCAATACCTCAGTAGGCCCATAATAACCTGCTTTTGAACTGTACTGAACAGAGCGACCTGTGCCTGCTGTATAGTCAAAACCTTAGCCTATTCTACAGGAAGGCACCACATCTGCTAAATTTTACAATTCCTTTACCTGCTTTTATGGCCCCTTGACCTTACTCTCACAATGCCATATAACACTGTACTTTCACTTGTACAACATTAAACTGACAGACAACACTTGTCTCCCACCTACCATCTAACAATCTTCTATGCAAGGTGATTCCTGAACTCTGCTACTGAAAAAACTGCACAATGTAGCACTCAAATGAGGCTTATTATTGTTCTCTGAATGCACATCATTATTATTTAGCTTTATATCCTGTAGCTCTTTGCTTTGATCACATACAGGGATCAAGGACATGGCTCACCGCTGCCACAAAGGTCATGTTTTCTCCCCGACTCTGAGACCTCTGACACCCCACAGCACTGCCAAGATACCCCAACTGTACCACTTAATGCAGCTGCACCTAGTACAGTGAATGCTGGATAGCTAATTCTCACTGGCAGCTGCCAACTCTGGGTATGCAGTAATGGATCTATATGACTTGGAAGAAAGGCTATGGTAGTACATAGAGAATTCCTTTTGTGTCACAAATTATTTTAAATTATAAACTTTCAGCAGTTTGGACTGTGTCCTTACACATGTTTATACCATGCCTAGCACACAGGGCTTCTGTACAGATCCTATTATAATGTTTACTTACTGTTACTGTTCCTTTAAATACAGAAATTGATAATGCATGATATTAGCAGCTATAAAATCCTACATGCAGTTTATTCTTGGGTTTGCTCTTCAGACAAAGGAATCAGCCTCTCTCTACCCCATAGGCCTGATAAAAATGTCAGCTGATAAGTTTAAGCTATTTCTTTCTTTCATTCTCAATCTCCTTCAAAATGAAGCCAATACTTATGGACTAACAATCTTCCTTTTTGTGTGCTGTGGATAACTGCATTATGCATAGGGGGTCATGGCATCTGATCTTATCTTCTGCCACATTAATGAAGGTTTCTTCTTTGTCTATGCCCTAGAATCCACACATTTGTAGCTAAAGAATCTTCAAAATACCCACAAACTATTTTCTAAACGTACAGTATATCCTACTTCTATGCATACTGGATAAGTGCATAATTCACTTTGTATAAGACAACACCAGTCCTAACTTGCCTATTGCTTACATTTTAACACCAGCTTATCTACATATCAGGTAACAGCAAGAAACCTCTTAAGTGCATAGCTTCTTTCCACCCTGTAATAGGACTGAAAGAGACAGATGTACAGATAGATAATAGCTATATTTGTGCTTAGATGTACAATAAAGTATGTTCACTGAGGTGGAGCATCAGCTGTTTATTAAGACATGGTCATGAGGATGCCTGAAGATAACTAAGGCCCTGGTAGCTTGTATTCTAGAGGTAAATGAATGGGTGCAGAGGTGAGGCCAATAGTGCAATCAGAAACTCGCCAATGAGGATAGTTGTTAAGATAGCACAGATGTTTGATTTCTAGCAAACTTCCTATCAAGATAAAAGATTTTAGTCATTTGTTTCCCTATAACTTTGAATTCGAAATAGTTCTGGTCTTATTTTAAATATTTTGCAGTGAACACACATATACATTTGCCCTCTTATTTACAATACTCTGCTAAGTGTAATACATACTAAAAATGATAATAGTACTTATTGGTGAAATGAATGCAATTGAAGGAAGTTGGTTCTTGGTGAGATTCTCTCTCAGATTGCCCCTACTGCTAATCCTTTGCATCTAAAGAGTTGTACGGACTATTCATGGCAGCATTTGGCTTTTTTATAGCTATGGAATATCATCTTTTGCCTGTATGCAGACTGTGTGCGTGTGCGTGTGTGTGTGTGTGTGTGCACGCGCGCACGTATAGAGAGATGAAGAGAAAGAGCGAGCGAGCGAGCGAGCGCAAGGCTTTGCATTTGTCTGTAACAAAGCGAGTTTACATAGGCCTGTATTACTAGTTTGTTAATAACTGACAGAGAAGATCTGATAGGAAATGTATACTTTAACACAACAGACACGAGTCCTTGCTTCCACTGTCAATGTATTTCATGCACTAAGATATTTTACTACTACTACTAATAATAATTCAGATTACATGTAAAATTTGTATTAACTCAATATTAGTATAAGAACTCTTGGGTCTTCCTTAATGTTTAGGATAACAATAAATTAATACTGAGCAATAAAACACATACAGAAAATAAAAGGCTGTTTGATTCAATGTTATATGTATTTGTTATTCTGTGGTTCTAGTTGATTATAATTGTGGCGCACAAATTAAACGATATAAGATGACTTCATCACAACAGCAGTATCTTGTGCATATATTACCATTTGAGTTCCACAGTCTGTGAAATTGTTTTTAATGCTGAACACGTAAAGGTTTGCTGTCTCAGTACCGTGACATGCAGGGTCATTGAGGTGTAAATCAGAGATCTGAAATGAAATGATCATTTATTTTTTTAATTGTTTATTACATCTTTAGCAAAAGTCTATTTCATGTTTAGATCACCACTACTTAAATCTATACAACAATGCAGGTCTCAAGACACAACATTTCACCTTCAACCAGGAAAAATAATCTTAACTACATACTGCAACAGAAAGTAAGCAGTGACCAATCAGAATGTCAACCCTCCTCCTTGATTCTTTTCCCACTTAACTTTTCTCAGAGCATAATCAAGCTGTTAAATACCCTGGGATCACATTTTGGTCCTGAGGGCCCATGGACCACAAGGAGGAGGAGGCATGCAAGGGACTGCATAATGCTTCCAAGGTGCTGGGGAAAGGAGCAATAAATAGCTGCACTTGTATACCTATATAAAAAGGTGGATAAACTGCTTCCCCAAATTGCTTTGATGGAACAGGGCCAGGACTGCACGTATCTGAGTAGATATTACTGACACAATTCAGACAATAATACTGTGTGCAACTCTTTCCTACAGAATTGTACTGAGGAACGGTGGCAGATAAGTGTCATGTAATCTTTCCTCTAATTCTTTACTGCTGTAGAAGGCGGATGTAATTATAGCCTGCAAGTTCAGATGATCCCTTTTTGTTTTAAACATGCTGTCAAGCCTGCTTTCTAATTTACTGCATTCACTCAAATCCAAAACGAGTGTTTTCCCCCCTCATTCAACCTAGGGAAAAAGAAGCTTTTCTTGGATTTGAGCATGGTCAGAGCAGACAGCTGCTGTAGGTCCTGCTCCAGCTGCAGTCATGACTCAGGGAAGACTGTGTGGTGTGTGGGGCAGGAAGGATAATGGGGGGAGGGGAACACAAGGGACATGGTGCAGTTCAGGCTGCAGTAGACCAAGCTTTGGCAGAAAAACTGCTGCAGCTTCAGATTTGGTCCTGGACCTGGGACTAGAACTGCCACCATTCCAGCTGCCTGGTTGGGGAAGAAGCTATGCACTGGGAGTATAGGGAAGATAAGGTAAAAGTGGTGCTGCTTTCCCCACTGCTTTCCCCCAGCCACTGCTTTCCCCACTGCAGCGGTAGAGGGGAAAATTCAAAACAACCTTCCAATAATTAGATTTTATACATGGAAAATTATAATAAATTTATAGTTTTCCATGTGTAGAATCTAATTATTGGGAAGGAGTCTTAAATTCAAAGTTGGCTTGGATTTGGGTAAAAATGCTAATGTGATCATGCCTGATCTTTTAAGCCAATTTAAGTATTCTCAGCAGAACTTGAGAAAGGATATTTTGGTTTTGTTGCAGGACTACAAATAAAGTTATGATTGAACTGAAACATTCTTTTCCCCAAATAACAAAGAAACAATTTTCTGGGCTAATCTTTTATCAACTTATATCAGCTTATAAATGAATGGGTGAAAAAAGTTGTTTGAAAATGAAAAACCCATACTTTTTTTTTTTAAATGCTGGAATCTAACATTTCCTAAATGAAAGACCTTTGTTTTTTATATATATATATATAAAACAAAGGTCTTTCATTTATAATATATAACAAAGGTCTTTCATATATACATCTAATCCTAAATGAAAGACCTTTGTTTTTATTTATTTATATAAAACAAAGGTCTTTCATTTAGGATATCTATCTATCTATCTAACAGGACAAAAATTATATATATATATATTAGATAGATAAATGGTTTAAAAAAAATTTGTCCTGTTTTTTGATTGACACCATTCACTAAATTAGGCCTGAGTCTGCAAATAGTTTCTGTATTCCCTCAGACTGTATCTTGGTTGTATTCGCCAAAAGTATATATAGCTATATCTACATATCCTCCACCACTCCCTGCTGTAATTATCAGCCGAAGACAAGCTAGTGAAGTCTCACACTTTCCAGAGCAGCTCCAGCAAAATGGTGGCAAAAGAATAGTGAGTGATTACCATATGTGGTCTTCTTTACACCCTCAAATTTTACATTCCAGAAACTTGTAAAATAAACAAGTTAGTAGACAATGTAATCAGAGAGAAATAAATAATAACCAATATGAAAATAGCTCTCCTAACAAACATGCAGCAGTATGAAGGAATGAAAACATTTCACATTTTATCAAATTTTGTCTTCATCTATTGCAGAAAAATACATGCATTCTATACAGACAAGGAGGAGAGAGAATTGACTCTTAGGGAAAAATCTCTCTCATGCTATAGGATATAAAACCTAAATGCTTGATGGTTTATGGAGAAGTCAGTAGAAACAGCCACATGAAATATCCCTGTGCATGAGCTGAATGGAAAACAAGTTTTTGCCCTATTAAAGATATTGATAGAACTGGAAAACTCTCTGGAAGACTGAAAGACTTACTGGAAGACTGTCATCCTCATATCAAGGGGATGCTACTGATACCCGAATGATAGAGATGCAATAGTTTTCCTTAGAGCTTTTTTGTTTCTTAATTCTTGTGGAATCTGATATTTGGGCATGACTTTCAAAGGCAAGAGGCAGAAGCTACTTTCTAGTAGCTGATAAAGCAGGCTGTCACCTATGAAAGGTAGCATTTCCCTGGCTGGTGTAATCTCCCTTTTGGGACATTATAACTCAGTATCTGGGTAACTTAAGCATGAACACTATTAAAAGGAGCCAAGAAGGTAAACGTTTATGTTTTATTCATAACTGAAAGTGATACAAATGACTTCAAGTACCAATGCAAGTGCAGTGTGAATAACAGTTCACAGGGCCAAATATAATTGACTTCACAGAAGCTTCCATTGACTTCAGCAAGAGCCATGACAGTAGAGCTGGCTCATCACTTGTTGTCTATTAAAATCTAGGAGCTTGCACGGTATTACAACTGCATGAAATGCAGGTCTAGAACTGTCCGAGAGGAAATGATGCTACACTCAAGAAAAAATAAAATTTCCATATTTGAAGACACTCTTTTAAACAAAGCACCTGAGCAGTTTGATGTACAAGTGAAACTTACAAGGATTGGAGGGTTCTTGCTTAGGAAAAAATAACTTGGAATCTCCACCTCAATCTGGTCTTTAGCACAGGTGATGGTTTTGTTGATTTCTGTATAAACATTAAAATTAAAGTTTTGTAACTCAACTTGACTCTCAGTACATTACAGTCTATATTTAACAAAAATATTCTACCTAAAAGTGAACAAGGATTCCTTGGTTTAAATACTGAAACTTCATTCATGTATATACATATACACATATATACTACATTTATGTGAATCCAAGAGAAGGTTTCTCCCCCCACCGTTCAGCATGAGGAAAAGTGCTTTGTCTTGCATTTGAGGGGAAGAGGGAGCAGACAACTGCTGCTACTTGGACACTGGTCCCAGAATCTTGGTTAGGGCCAGAATCAGAGCCACAACAGCTGCCTCTGCATGCCCTCTACTGCCTTTGTCTGCCCTGCCTGTCCCCGCGGCTTCTGCCCCTTCCATCCTTCTTACCATCAGGTACAGCTCTCGCTTCGGCTCCATTCCCTCCCAAGGCATAGATCCCATGAAAGCTCCATCCCCTGCCTGGCTAACGAATAACAGGACAGCTCCAGTCCCTAGACTCCACTGTGTGGATGGGCAGGGACCATGCTACCATGTACCCTGTGCTACAGAGGGAATGGAGCCAGAGCTGCATCTGACAGTAGAGGGAGCAGAGGCTACAGGGCAGGCACCAGAGGCACAGGTGATGGGCTCACTGCAAGGGGAAGATGTAGCGGGGGGGAGTCGAGGGAGAGGGGGTTGCCTGATCACCCCAGCCATCAGCCCCCCTGCAGCTTTCCCTGCTGTAGCAGTGGGGGGAAAGGGGGAGGCAAATGTACAATGACCCTCTGATAATTAGATGCTATACCTGGAAAATTATAACAAATGTATACATTTTTCATATGTAGAATGTAATTATTGGGGAGGGGTCGTCAAAGCTATCTTGGATTTGGGTAAATATGGTGCATATTTGGGTAAATATACATATATCTCCCTACACATAAGAATATAACAAAAATTAAGAAAAGGGCAGGTACACCTGAGAAACAAAACAGAATTTGTACCGCCACAGGAAATGTTGACATTTGTTTTCATCCTGAGTTTGAAATACCAATCTTTTTGGGGGGACTAGGAGGTTTTGAAGACAATAAAGATTGAGATGACGACAAAACTAAACATTCTAAATCAAAACTTTTGGTTTCCAGCGACGTTAAACTTCAACTGCCCAAGTTATCCAGTGTCTCACAGATGTCGTAGCTCTGGCATTTCATGGCCCCCTGTTCTTCCCACTGGAGCAGGCTCCTAAACTGAACTTTATGCCACATGAGGAGGCACTGTAGTCATTTGACTTTGACAATGCCCAATGCAGCTGGATCAAAGAAGACGGTGCATTTTGAGAGATGTAGCCCAGCCTAAGAACCCAAGGGTACATCCGGAGATGGAGGTGGGGAGTACAGTGCTACGACTGCACTCCCTTCCACAGCACAGCACGAACTCTTCAAAAGAAATACCAGAGACTCCAGTTCCCTGGAACCCGAATGCCTGGGTCCACTGAGGAGTCTGGGTACCAGGAACTGAGCTCAAACTAAAATGGTAGGGGGTGGAGAGGAAGATGGGGAGGCTCAGCTACAGCCCCTAGGCCTGTGGGTGACATCCAGTGGGGCTCAGAGGGAGAAGGTACAGAAAGAGCAACCTGCCTACCATTGCTGTTGTGGAAACAAGAAGTCCAGGGCCATGGGAAAGTGGAGCTGTAGGCATGTCTTTCATGCCATGGTGTGAGCACCATGCAGCACCTAGTGAAGCAGCTCAAGCTGGAGACAGCTGTGGCACAGAACAAGGTAGGGTAGGGGACTGGGAGACAGGGGGTGGGATTATTGTAGCACTGGCCACATCTGCCACTGCCTCCCCCCAACTTTCAAAATCCTAGATCTGCCTGTGAAAGAACCTTACCCTCAGGCTAGAATGGAGACACGCAGCACACAAACTACAAGGCAAGCTGATGTGAAACTTTCTTTTAGTTCAATTTAACAAGCCGTAACAATCTGATTAGTGTTGAAATGATCCAAAAACAAAATATTTAATGACCATTATTCACAACATAAATGGAAAAATGCCAGTAAGACTGAAACTTTTCCTCTGAAACATTTTCAATTAGCTGTAATTGTATTTGTCACTGGAAAATTATTTTGACACAAAGTTCCTGGTCAGCTCTAGGACCCAAAGTTATTTCTCTGTTTACAAATTATCTCCCTCCATTCCTGTCTTTTGTATTCAACTCACACTCTCCATTTTATACACTGCTCTCTGCATGTCCTTCCACAGCATTTATAAAGTGAGCTTGGGCTCATGAAAGCTTATGCGATATAAGCCTGATTTAGTTAGTTTATAAAGGTGCACATGTACGTCACATCTAGGGACTTCAGGAGATTCAGACAGGTGTGTGGTTTTACATGCCATATGGTAGAAGGCACTGTAGGACAAGCTGAACTTTAAATTATTAGTTTTATTCTTAATATTTAAAAAAATCTCTCTCTTTGGGCTTTACTCTTGCTCTTATCTAAAGTGCATGTTTCCTTCACATATTGTGCATTGTTCCATATACAGTCAATGAAGAATATGGATTTGAGATCTGAGTCAGATACAAAACTTTTATCTTTTGTGTTAGTGTATTGTTCATTCCTTTTAGGAGGATAATCTTCTCTTTGTAAAAACACTTGCATAGTATCCATTCTGTTGTGCCTTTATGCCAATCTAAATATTATTTGGGGGAAACTTTACAACGTAAATTATTAATACAAGAGATAGTAATGCCCCAGTGAGTCAAAGTTTACATTGGAATCTTTAATCCAGTCTTTTTTGTGTGTGTGAATCATCCCATCTCCATCACAGTTTATCAATTAAAACCTAATTTAGCAATTCCCTAATTCACAGACAGAAACAATAAGGAACATAGTAATTACGTCTTTACCATCTAAAGGTTCTTAATGATCTTTGGAATAATAAACCAGCACATCTCCTTTCTCCACAGTATTAACATGTGTACAGTAAATCTTACCTACATTCTACCAAGCACCTTTGATGTTAAAGCGTTCTTATTATTTTTCTTTAAATATAACCAATATTTTTAAAAAAGAAGAATAAATTCTGTCATCTTGAGAATCTTCCATTGAACACTCCATTCTAGGGGAAACTTTCAAAACATGTCCTCATCCAACATGCACACATACCAATTAGTTTCTTAATAAATAATATTTTAAAATAAGGAACCCAAACCTGAAGTCCTTACTTAGAAAGTACTGCTGTTTGCCTGAGCAAGAACAAAGTAAAACCTGGTTTAAAATTAGCACCACAGTTTGGGCCCAATCTTAAATATTTTCAGTGTCCTTCACAGATCAGTGCAGCAATAAGGCACATCAAGGTTTGTACTGTCTAGACTATTAGGGCCAGTTTTCAGTGTAATATGGAACAATGAAGACAAAGACAGAATAACTTCAGTCACTTGAGATACAGCAAAAGGATAAGAAAAATACATTAACTGTAAAACAAGATGATTATTCTTAGTTTCATTGGCTCTTCTCAAAGTACAGACTGTCAGGAACTGGATATTGGGTGAGTCTACACAAGATACTTACTGTGCATTGGCCTAATAACACTGTGCAGTAGCATGTAATGGCAAAAACCATGCTAAGAGCCTACTGCACAGTGTTATTAGGCTAATGCGCAGTGTCACTAAATGTGTGCCAGTGCTACTGTGCAGTAACTGTAGGTACTGTGCATTTAGTTTAGTGCTTTATTAAGGAAGTACTAAACTCACAGTATCTGAGGTGCATTAATGAATGTGTAGAGGTGCACATTGGTTCACAATGGGTGATGACAGACATGCTGCTCCCCACTAACTCATGGCACTTTGCAAGAAACATCATGAGTTACAGCAAGCCTCTGAACCCAACAGATGTTTGCTGTTGGGTCCCGGGGCTTGGGAGATCGAGCTGCAGTTTGGAGCACCTGAAAGTCTGAAATTGCTCTTCCCTAGCCCCATCCCTTCCCGCTCTCAGCCCCAGTGCTATCTTCAGGATGGGAGTGGGGAAAAGAAAGGGGAGGGAACTCAGTTCAGGGTTTGCCCAACCTTCGCTGGAGAGTTGGGTGGGTGGACTGTAGCCCCCCACCTCCAGTCCACCCACCCCACCTTCCAGAGAAGGCTGGGTAAACCCCAGACTGAGCTGCCTGCCCTCCCATCCTGAAGACAGTGCTGGGAGCAGGGCTGGGCTGTGTAAACCAAGCCCCGCTCCCAGTGTGTGCTGGCAGGTGTTAATCAAGATGCTCCACTTTGGAGTGCCTTCATTTGAACACTTATGTAATGAGGGTTCAAATTGTCATGCGCCTGTACCTTTTTCAAGCACTCTGCAGCTGTGCACTTTGGTAAGAGCACAGCTCTGGAGCGCTTCAGAGGTCTGATAGCACAACAAAATGACACTTGTGTCAGTACCCAATGATCCTGAATGCTTAATCATGCTGCCTCAATCTGTGAGAAATTTACATTGTACCATTTATGGCTCATTCTATGTATGAGATACATTTTGAGAGGAGCCTGCAGGGCGAACATCATTCTAACAGAGTCAAGAAGAATGAAGAGCAGCTTTGGTTTCCATGACTCAGGTGCAGGAAGCTATCCATTCCACAACAGGATCTAATTGAGGGGATGAAAAGATGAAACAATTATACTAATTGAAAAAGTTTGGAGGAGGAGCAGAGACTTGCAATGGATCAGCTTGAAGTGTAATAATGCTCACGAGTGTTCACTCTATCCCACAGTAAGCAGAAGCCAAACTGGTAACTTAGCAGCTATTTCATTTTGATGAAAGCTGCCTTAGTTTAGCTTCATTTACAAAAAGATATAAGGGCACATACAAAATAGTTACAACAGTCAGTTGACATACTCACAAGCAGTATATTTCCCCTCTTCTTTCCCCTTTAAAGACTCTTGTTTTATCTTTCCATAGCTTGAAAGCGCTATGCACAAGTCTTTGGATTGGGTTAATGATGTAATAAAAGCTGTAGCTTTTATTAGTCAGCTGTAGCT